TTTAATCTATTTGGAGTTGAATTGCATGTGTTGAGTGGAGACGCTAATATATGTGATTTAATCTACGGTTTTATCGATCTCGAGAGGGACGATAAGCTAAATTTGTGATCATCTTATAGGGTAGATAAAGAAAACATTGGTTGTGATATTTCTGAAGGAACCCAACTATTAATTGAAACCAAAGTCTTAGAATCTATCATTCTCATATATTTTCTTACGTATTTTTTCTAGCTAGTTTCTCATTGTTGCTTTATTTTCCTTTGATTATATTTTCTTAGTTTAGTTAATCCATCTCATATTCGGTCGTCTAAATAAAGTTGACACTATCATAATCTTGTACTTGATATATTAATTATTTGGTCTCTTGGGATACGACCTTGCTTGCCACATACTACGAGCGAAGCCGTACACTTGCGGTTGAGCTTTAAAAATATAGGCGAACAAACACCCCGCCTAAACTTTACTAAAATCAGAGTAAATTTTTCGCGATATAAATGGAAAACACTGATTTAATTTTCGAAAACTCAATTTAACTTTTTCGAAAATACTTTAATCTGACCGTGGGATGCTACTCAACTAAACTGAAATATCATTTCTGTCTCATTTATTATTATGCATGCAACCGAGATAAAATTCATTACTTTAATAAGGCGCCCTGAAAATCTTAGGATTTTAGGTATACATAAACTGAAATTCTGAAATACTGAATATTATTCTGAATCTGGAAGCAAACATAAGCATGCATCATCAAAACATTCAAACATGTTCGAATATACATGACATGTTTAATAAAATATTCTCGCTATGATCACCACCACTCATTGGCTCACGCTCCACGCTCGACCCCGTCACCTGAAAAATGGTTAGTGGGGAGGCGTGAGCACATATAATCAATGGTGCTCCGCCGGAACCGGCACTGAAATATACAGCTGATATAATAACATATCATGACATCGACATATATGCAAGTACTTATTGGATCGGCAGAAATGATGCGATGATAAGCATTTTACTAACGGATCATGAATTAAACATTCGTCCAATAAAAACATAAATGAGTGAACTGTCTATAGCTGCTACTAAACTGACTGTCTATAACTACTGCTCGACTGGCACTTGGGATCTTGTTTCATTACCATCACATGCCATACTTATCACCTGTAAGTGGGTCTTTAACTTAAAACCAAGTCGGATGGTTCCATTGAGAGATATAAAACTCGTCTTGTTGCTAGAGTCTTTCAGCAGACTCAGGGGCGAGATTATGATGAGACTTTTGCTCCCGTTGCTCACATGACTAATGTTCGTAGTTTGATTGCAGTGGCTGCTACTCGTTCTTGGACCATATCTCATATGGATGTGAAGAATGCTTTCCTTCATGGTGATGTGCATGAGGAAGTTTATATGCAGCCACCATCGAGTGTTGGTGCCCCCTCTGAACATGTTTGTCGTCTACGTCGCGCATTATATGGTCTCAAACAGGCACCTCGTGCTTGGTTTGAGCGTTTCGTCTGTCATACGAGCTGGTTTTATAAGTGAGGATGCCCATATATATAGACTTCGGGCATTAAGTATATATGGGCTGGCCTATAATCGTTAACACTCTCCCTTCAAACTCAAGGTGGGGGTGGAGGATCCAAAGCATTGAGTTTGAGCAAGTGAAGTCGATGCTGCTCTCTAGTTTGTGCTTTGGTGAAAAAATCAGCAACTTGCATTTCTGACGGCACATACTGAAGAACAATTATTTTTGAGATTGGGTAAAGGAAGCATTTACACTAATGTGTTTTGTAAGTTCATGCTTTACTGGAACATTGGCAATTTGGATTGCTCCAGTATCATCACAAAGAAGAAGCGTAGGATCATCCATGGAATACCAAAATCGGCTAACAACCATCGAAGCCATATAATTTCTGAGGTGGTAGTAGCAAGTGCTCGAAGTTCTGCCTCTGAGATATAGTTGCCTGCTTCTTGGACTTCAATGTAGGGGGAGAAGAACCAAGAAAAATGCAAGTGACAGAACGACAATCAACTGAATTACCTGCCAAGTAGAATCCGAGTAAGCATGAAGCTGAAGCAGACTATCACGAGCATATAATAAACACTGAGATGATTTCCCCTTAAGTATCGTAGCACGCGAAGCAAATTCCAAAATGAACCGAACTAGGAGCACTCATGAGCAGTGTCAGTCATGGTAACAATAAGGTAAACGAGACTACCTATAATATGTCGATAGCGAGAGGGATCCTCAAGAGGCGTACCATCAGTGGGACGAAGCTGTAAGTGAAAATCCATAGGTGTAACCGGTGCCCGATTATAAGTAATACCGGAACGAACAAGAAGATCTTGTATGTATTTGGATTGAGAAAGGTAATAACCCGAGGCATAATGCATCACCTCAATGCCCAAAAAATAGCTAAGAGGACCCAAACCGGACATCTGAAATTGCTGACCAAGTTGCTTTTTGACATGAGAAAATATGTTCTGCATCATCTCTCGTAATCAACATATCATCAACATATAGAAGAAGTAGAGTACGCCCACGTGCAGAGGGGTAAATAAACTACTAACTATTATAGGCCAAGCCCATATATACTTAAGGTCCTAAGTCTATATATATGGGCATCCTCACTTGTGAATTTATCATTCGTCCAAAACCCTAAGGTTCGTAACATGGTATCAGAGCCTTACACATAAATATCTTTTTCCAACTCACCTCCCACATCGGTCAAATTGCCGCCTCAAGACAGACTTTCCGGCCAAGTTTCGCCGTCAGAAGCTGCGCGTGTGAGCCACACGCGCCGCCGGCCGCCGGAAATTTCTGCCGGCAGTCCCACACGCCGGCGCGCGAGAGCGATTGCCTTGCTGGAACTTTTTCCGGCAAAGATCTGTGAACTTGGATTTCATCCTCTTGCTGCCAGTGTTTTTAGTTTTGTGTTTTGGGAAGTTTTTTGTGTCCGTTTTGCCCTTTTTAGATCCATGACTTGTCGGGGTTAGGGTTCGTGTACTCTAATATGTTCCGGCGTCGTCAATTTCTATTTTGTAGTCATTTGTTTGTCGTGTGCCCCTACGTTGTCCGTTGCAGCACCTTTATTCATATGTCGTCGCGGCTTGTTGCTACTAGTTTGTCAAATCGTGAGTGGGATTTTTCGATTGAAACTGTGTTGAGGGGTTATGGTTTGGCTTTCCACTTGTCTGATGATGGACCCAAAAGAAAGGTCAATAACAACAATGTTGCTGACATCATAATATGGCAGATTAATGATGGGAAAGTGATGGATCAGAATATGGCAGATTAATGATGGGAAAGTGATGGTTGCCTTCGTCAACAGAGTCAAGCAGTCCATGATTATGAGCCTTTCTTCTTTTCGGACAGCCAAAGAAATGTGGTCCTATTTTGTAGGGTCATTGGAGTTTCTCTACGAATTAGAGTTTCATTTCACAAAAAAAATATAACGTCACGAGAGAGAGAGTTTTGTAGGGTCGTTAATGTCCAAAAGTTGAAAAACTAGGGATACATTTAAAATTATATTTAAATGATCCACAGTGGTTCAAATTTTCTCCCCACTTTGATCTTTGATCTGGACTAAGTTATCCTCTTACCTCTCATTTGTTTGATGGGATGAGATATGACTACATTTATTCTTGGTAAGTGGATTGTACTGTTTAGATTAAATTAAGCTAAGCTATCAAAAATTACATAAAATCATCTTTTCAAATCTTAAACCAAGTCAAGCTCGGCCCGTTAACCAAACGAGCTTTACATGAGCTCGAACTCGATTCGTTTATCAAACGATTTGAGCCGAGTCGAGCCGAGTTCACGAGCAACTCATTCAATTTAACAGCTTTATACGCCATCACCTCATCCAAACAACAAACGATGGCTGAATGTAGGATAAAGTATCCTTCCAAACTTAATCTAATCAAGCCTTGATTGATAATAAGATAAAATGTCATTTTGCCATTAATTTATATGAAGATAAGGAGCATATTTGACTGTATATTTTTATCCCACGAGCTATCCAGGATATTCATATGCAGATGGGATCAATTTATATTTTCCTACCCTAAGTTATATGGAGATAAGCATATTTGACCATGCATTTTCTATACATAAAGAGGTTGATGGAATAATCTAAAATAGTAACTTTGATTTTTGATGAATGGAGTGTTTCCAGTCGTTGTTTTTTAGGTTGTTTGTGTATATGTCCAACTGTAGGTCATCTATGCGAGCAATCCTCGCCATTGGTTTCACAGCACTGAGTAAGCATACTAATGAAGACCGATTTGGCCTGTCCATTCGCTCTCTAGGTTATTTAATAGGGAAATCAACCAACTCATGCCGTCGCCAATCCCGAACCCTGCACTCATAGTACCTATGGTCTTTGAGCGGCCCAATGCTCATTCACTTATTGGGTCAGCATTTGAACTCGTTGGCTAAGCCCTTGAAGCTTCGTACCTGACGGCAAGTCAATTACATCGAGCCTCAGCTGATGTTCTCCCTTGTCCAAAGCCAGCCACTAGAAGAAGTAAGAGAACCTACAATGAATGAAGAAGAAGAAAGGGAGATTTGGACAACATTCTACACCTTTGTGTCAATTACATAGGTTGACGTACTATTAAACAAACATAGTAAATATTACTTAAATATTTTATTAAAAAAGGATTTGATTGCTATAAATCGTGCAATTCGGCTAATAACACGACTTTTTATATAAATAAAGTGGTATCAATTTTGAAAATTATTTTGGGGTAATTATCGCAATAAATATCTGATTCTTCATATTAATTACAAATCACTGCATTTTCTTATTCTTTTGGTGACCAATCATGCAACGCGCCTTAAAAAAAGCGTCTATTAGATAGTTTTTTTCTAAAAAATATTATTTGAATATGTACGATAAAATTGAAAATATAATTACAAAATAAAAATTTGAAATCAATTACAGAAATTTTATTATGATATTTATCACAATTTTATAATAGAATCTTATCCACATTAATAACAAATCATGGTGATTTCTTATTCATTTGGTAACGAACCATATACCAAAATTTTCTTTATCGTATCTTCAAAAAATCATTTAATCAAGAAGATTAGTTTAGAATTTCTGATTTATCAACAACTCAATCGATTCAGTTTTTCAAAAATTGTAAATGCAATTTTCCACATTATCAAAAGAAATCTAACTATTTATCACCAATCTTTATTCTTAATAACAAATCATGGGTTCTCATGTATTATTGAACATCCAGCCATATGTAGACCGAAATATGCATGAGAACATTGCAAAGTACAAGTACAATATAAATTTAGAGATCAATTGAAAAAATATTATTGATATAACTGCCACGAAACTACAATATAATTGATATATCAACATTAGTAACAAATTCCTTCGATTTTCTATTCATTTAGTAACGAGCCATATACCCAAGATTATCTATTCGAGGAGTTCAAAAATATCCTTTGATTTTATCGATTACTCTATTGAACCAATTTTTAAAACTTCATATTGCAATTTACAATACCATAACAAATCTCATATAAATTAATAGATTAGAAAGAAAAATTAAAATATCTATAATATACATCATTAAAAATTATAAGAAAAAATAAAATAATATTCATGTAATTAAATATTAATATTTTTTTATCTTCAAAATAATATATATTACAATATTTTCCAATTAAGTGTTGGTTATAATATTTGCCACTATTTTACAACTTTAGCATAACGTATTTAGAAATCAAAATAATATATTGTAATAACTAATAAGGTATGTGTAAGGGAATATAGAGAAATAAAAGTATTATGTGAGTATTACTTATTGATAATATTTGGATATGTTAATTTTCAGTATCCTTAATTATAAACATGAACTACAAAATGACAACTATTAATGAGTTAAATAAACATAAAATTCATATATTAATTATTATATATCATAAAAAATTAATATTAGTATTGAAACTATATTTGTACTAATTAATATTCTTTTATTGCTATAATACATGCAATTTATAATTATTGCCCCGTGCATCGCATAAGTTACGTACTAGTTATTAAGTACATCAAACGTCGTGGAAACTATAATATTATCATATTTTAACCATCAATCACGAATAACAAATGCGAGTTCAATTTTATGTATGGTACAACCCACGAACTCAATATTCCAATCCTATCATACAACTTCCTATTGTCGGACCTCAAATCTTTTCAGGATCGTAGAGACCTCTAAGTTATTTGTTGGTCGGTCCCTATTTCTTAAATTAAGGAGAGTATATTTATTTGATATTTTGAAAAAGATTTTAAGACTTTATTAAATCCAAGACTTTTTAAAATTTGTTTAGTTTAGTGAAATCTCTAAAAAATTTAGTGAGATATGGTGAGATTTTGCATATGTAATTTATGTTTGAAATCTCAACAAATTTACTTAAAAAGTTCTTACAATTGCTTAAAATATCCTTACAAATCCCACTATTAAATAAATTAAAGACCTCTAACGTTTTAAATTCTAATTGAATACCTCAAGACTTTTTAAAGTATTAAAAAGTCTAAAAGTTAAGGGTGTGTTTGTAAATCAAATATCTCAATCCAAATTAATTCATATTTAAAATCTAACTCAATCTCACTATCCTCAATATTATCATTATAATTAAATAATAACAACCAGTCAACTTTACACATCATATCAACTTTAATTAACTATTCATCTACACACATAATTTTAACTAACCATCACTTCATATCATTTCTCTCCTACTTTTACATCAAATCAACTTTAATTATTTTGTTTTAAATATTATTTTAACATAAACTCAAAATCTCACCAACTAACTATACCACTTTTCTAAATTAACCCTAATTAACTAAAAAAACTCACTTTGAGTGAATTTATTGGTTTACGAACACACCCTAAATATACTACAATTTCTAAAATTTTAAAAAAGTCCTTAAAAATCTTAAATGAAAACACCCTTCTATAACTCACATCTCAACTTGAGCCTTTAACTAATTAGTAAGCAGTGTAATCATCTGAGCTGAGAGAGCTTATTTTTAATCCTATCATGTCTCAGAAAACAAAAGAGACCTTGTGGAGGTCAGTGAAGTGAAAAAGAAGTAAATTATTTTCACATTTTTTTTTCTGTGCAGTCTCACTAGTACAATTAAAAATAACAAATATACATTATTATATATTTTCAATAAAAAAACACTATTCACTTACTCACATATTTTTAATTATATCAATTTAGATTTTTATTATTTTTATATCACAACGTTACATTTTTTATCTTATCAATCTAGATCTAATATATTTCTAATTTTTATAAAAATAATTTTCTATCTGAAAATTCCGTTTTGAGAACTGTCCTAATTCCACCACCTCTTTTGTGAAGCATAATTACAAGTTGGAAAGTGGTCACTGCCCCAGATTCAGAGTGCAACTTTTATGTGTGCAAGTTGCCAATTATGTTGAATGCTGGTTTTTTTTTTTTTTTTTTTTNCCAAATACATTTCTTGGGGAATGCATATATTATATTAGCTTAGTTAAATGAACTGAAATAGAATATATTAATAACAAAGGGGACTTATTTATGCACATAAAATGATAATTCGTTACGTTATTTAGAGCTAAATAAACCAGTATATTATAAATCAAATGCAAATAACATTGAGTAATGCCAATTTTTACAATGCAAAAATATCAAATCAGTTCAAGTATATAACCACCACAAAAAAGCTCCAACCAACCATACAAGTGTTGAGGCGAAGATGATATGGTGGACCTATTTTGTCATCTTCAAATCTTTTAATATTAAACAAATGAACCTATCTTGCTAAAATGACAGATCGAAGGACAAAATAAGAAAGCTTTCTTTTTATATCCAACGCACATATGAGAGAGAGAAATGCAAGTTGTATATTTTGTTATGTGACAAAGTAAAGCATGTCTTGAGTGGTGAGAAGAAAATATCAACCTTTGAATTGGCTTCATGTCTTTATCAGGTCCAAGGACAAGTTAAGAAAGCTTTCTTTTTATATCCAAGGGCAGAGAACACGCACACGTGAGAAACAGAGATGCAAGTTGTGTATTTTCTTATGTGACAGCAGTAAAGCATGTCTTGAGTGGTGAGAATATAAACCTTGGAATTGGCTTTATGTCTTTATCAGCTCCTAGTGGGAGACGTTGCAAAGGGTGGAGATATGAGGACGAATTTTTATAAACTTTTGATTCTTATAAGATCAAATTGTTAGATTTTGACTTTAATGTTTGTCCCATGTTTGTCCCACGTCGAATGTATACCATAGTTACGTAGGATTTTTTCTAGTATAAAAGATTCTTACTTTTAGGTTATAATTGCACCTTATTATCTTCTCTTATTATCTAATTCTCTCATAGAAATCTTTAATTAAAAAATCTTAATTCGTGGGTTATTGAATTCTACTTGGATTTTGTTAGTGAATTTACTAAATTTGTCGTTGCGGTTGGAGGTGCCTGGAGGCGTATGCAATATTGGTCGAACTTCGTTATCAATTTGGTGTGTGCTTTTCTTTCCCATAATTTATTTTAGTATTTATTGGCTTATTTTCGTTTGTAGCAGCCCTTGATATTATTAGTCGTGGGAGTATTATTGTTCGCACGCCCTCCACTTTGGTATCAGAGATGAAGATAGGCTCGTTCGGTGAAGCGGACACTGCATTCGAGTTTGAGATAGCCAAGAAGATCAAGGGTGCATCATAATCTGCACTCATTCGGACACTGTTCGAGTTTGAGATAACCAAGAAGATCAAGGGTGCATCATAATCTGCACTCATTCGGACAAAGATGGTAGTGCTGAACGCCACTCCCGGTGGAGATCTTCGGTGGGACCAGTCATTTCGGCATGTGGTAAGGCGAAGTGCTAGATTGTCTCTTTCAGCAAGGCGTCGATATTACCATTGAAAAAGAGAAGCCAAACGACGCTGATGAAAAGAACTTGGAGAATATCAACCGCTTAGCATGTAAAACAATCCATTCTTGTTTGTCCAAGAGCAAAAGTACACATGCGAAGTGTTGGATTGTCTCTTTCAGCAAGCCGTCAACGTTACATTGAAGAAGAGAAGCCAAATGACATAGGACTTGAAGAATATCAACCGCTAAACATGTGGAACAATCCGTTCATGTTTTCTAACATTCAACAATAAGAACTCTACCCACAATCTGCTGAAGGCTTTGGATGACAAATCTTTTAAGAAAAGTGGGCAGAATAAACTCTTCTCTCTTCTTCATAGACTGTTTGAATTTGAATACCGACATGGCGCATAAATAAATGAATGGCCATGTCACTGCATTCGATCAGTTGGTTGCAGCAGATCTGTTGAACTTGGCACATTCAACGATGAAGATTTTACTATAATATTGTTATCTGCTCTTCCCGATGAGTTCGAGCACTTGGAGACTACCTTGACGATATAACTCTTGCAGTGGTCAGTTCTGCTCTGTATAGCTATGAGTTAAGGAAGAAGAACCGACGAGAGACGAAGAATGCAATAGCAGAAGAAGATGAAGGGTTGGTTGCAACTTGCAAGAGATCATTCGAAGGGCCAAAAGAAGAATAGACGAGGAAGATCATGTTCCAAAACCAAACTTATAAAGACAAGTGTGTTTTTTTGCTATGAGAAGGGGCACCAGAAGAAAGACTGGTCGAAGTTGAAAAAGAAAGACAAATCTCATCAAGATGTATATGTTGCCGAGGGTGGAAGTGAAGACTCAAAATTTTTACTTGTGGTTTCACCTTAATCATCTCATCTAGGTGAATGAATTTTGGTTTATGGATGCACCTATCATATGTCTCAGATAAAGGGAGTGGTTCTTAAATTTTCAAAATATGAGGAGTTGTCTATATGGGTATAAGGGTAATGATAATGTTTGTAAGACAATCGAGTTAAGTTCAATTCATTTGAAGATTCACAATGGATGCACTAGAGTTTTGACGGATGTTCGATGCATTCCGAGTGTGAAGAAAAACTTCATCTCATTAGGAGTCTTGGAATTTAAAGGCATAGTAGTGTCTGCGAGAAAGAGTTTTGAAGGCTACATCCGGCTCAGTGATGAAAGGCACCAGAAGGGTTAACTTGTATTACTATGAATGTGATACGATTGTTGGGACAACAACAGTAGCAGATTCCACCAAAAGTCCAAAACGGTCTAATTTGTGGCATATGCTATTGCGACATGCTAGGTGAAGATCTGGTACATTGCTTAGAAGCAGAAGAGAATTAAGTTTGGCTCAGTTAAATCAAGAGTTTGAGATGAAAGACTTAAGAATGCTAAAAAATACTCGAGATGGAGATAATCGGAGACAAAACGAGAGACAAACTTTGTTTTAGTTAGAAGAAATATTTGAATAAGGTATTAAAAGGTTTCAGCATAAAAGATGAAAGAAAAGCCTGTATGTACACTACATGCCCCTCATTTGAAGTTAAATGTCCAATTACCCTGGAATACCGCCTTATTCCTTCTCCTTCTCCGAAGTCTTAACGCCCAAAGATTGTCACGAAGGTCTTTGATCCTCCCCCAGTTCGCCTTTCGGCAAGCTTAACGCCCTCGTCATCCTCGAGATGGTAAAGATGGTACTGCAGCTAATTCTAAGAGCATTCTTCATCTAGACAAAGAAAGCCTGACCACCAAAACATGATGAAGAACGAGAGTACATAGCTAGAGTACCATATTGAAATGCAGTTGGCAATTTGATGTATGCAGTAGTGAGTACAAAGTCCGACATTTCACAAGTAGTTAGTGTTGTGAGCAGGTATATGCATAACCCCGGTAAAGGTCATCGACAAGTTTGAATGCATTCTAATTCTAGTAGTATATATCATTATCTTTGAATTATAATTGCGCCTTATTCTCTTCTCTCATATTTAATTAAGGAAATCAAAATTTAGCCATATTTTGTTGGTGATTTTAGTGAATTTGCATTGCGGTTGGCGATGTCTGGAGACTTAGACAATATTGGCATCATTTTGGTGTTTTCTTTTCTTTTTTCATCAATTATTTTTTCATTTATTGGCTTATTTTCGTTTGTAGTAGTGTTTGTTATTATTAGTTGTGAGGGTATTTTTGTATGTTGCGCCCAACACAAATGGACACGTCTTGCTAAAGAGACATGCAAATAAAGCCAGGAATGAGGACAAGAAAAAGCTTTCTTTCTTTTATTCTTTTATATATTCAAGAAGAATACAACTAGCGAAAGGGACATGTAAATAGCATATTGTCTTTATATGGATTTTAGAAAAGGAGAACACACTGTGAAATATACAACTGGTGAGAGAATATAAACCACTTGTCCACTAGATAAGCCACACATCAGATTTTCAAAGTGGGAAAATATCGGTTCAAATTAGAATGTGTTGGTAAAACTTACGGGTGGACTACTATAAATGCAAACAGATGTCTCTTGGAGATGAGCACATCTCATCATTTGCCTTCATCATCTTTCTACAAACCCAACTGAAGGAGAAACCGACAGACAAAGGGTTTAGAGATTTAACCCTCCAAATCGGTAACTTGAGATGGCCTAAGGCAGAACACGTGTAAAAAGACACTGGTTGCTACCTTAGACTATCCAAGTTACTAATCAGGCTGGGGTTAATATCCGGGCATAACACTCCCTGACTTCGTTCAATTTCACATTCAAAATCGTTACGGTATGTATTTGATGTCTACATAACTCATCATGATCCAAGTTACTAATGATATTTGAATTTTTTTCTCAGTAGTCTTGTGAACAAATAAACCTGACGTGCATTGTGGAAAATGTGGAACCTTCACATTTTATCCTAGAACTGTTCAGTTACTTAAACTAAGAACAAACTACAAAGGCAATTTTGTCCTTGGAGTAGCTGGTTTTACATACCCCTTTCAGACTGCCAGGTGAAGGTAAATCGGTAACATAAACTAATCGAAGTAAAATCAGTACTTATCTACTTACAGCCGTGTTTTGCAAACCTTCATATTGTCATGTTACTTCAGAAGAAAGGATAATTGCAGAAAAATGATTCCAAAAAGCTACTGAATTCCCCAAATGTTCTGCTGATTAAATAATGCTCAGTGTAAAACTGTAAATACGATAATAGGGTGTTTAGAATGATGATAATATTTTGCACTGGGTGAAATGATTCAGGCATCAGAGGCAAACATGTTATGATTTTTTTTTTTCTTTTAATTCCTTTTATTATTATGGTATACTAACAAGTATCATTATATTTGTCCAAATGTCGTTAAGAAATTAAATATACAGACTAGATGAGCATGTGAAGAATAACAAGACGTAATTTTAGTAGAGAAAAAATAAAAACATATGCTTTTAAATTCTGGAAGTGAAGACAAACTGATCGAATCACGACCTTTAACTGAATTCCTGAAGGGTCGAAAAATGGCAATCACAGCATGAATAACTTTTTTTTTAAAGAATCACATATCGTGTAATTAGAAAGGATGACTTTAACAATATAGAACGGTCTTTGTAGTTATCAATAAGCAAAAACTAATAAAACTATCCTATGCACACAACTTCAAATGACCAGTCCCATTGACGAAATTCAACTCGCAAACATGTTTGAAAAAACAAAAGCTATCCCAAAGCAATCAACTAACAAGAGAGCACCTGATTGGTCGGACAAAGTGTGTATTTTATATCTTTATTAGCGTATTTATATATGCTTAATTTTATCGCACTTATTATTTTTCGACTTATTTATTTATTAGATGGATTCAAGTGCTATGATATATTTATGGTTTATTTTTAGGATATTGGAGCATTTTTATTGGTGGCGTATCGTCAAACGAAAACCGAGCATGCTAGTACGGGTACCCCGCACGAGCCCAATTTGCTAATCATAGAGCTAAAGGCCCAATTAAAGAATTAAGCCAATTTAGGCTATCAACTAATGAGGGAGTTAGACATTCACGCATCAGCCCATATGCATTAGAATTATTTGCAAGGTTTATTTTAAGAAGCTTGGGAGAGAAATTAATACATGTGCATACATTAGTATTTATTTTGGGGAGAGCCGCCACTTGGAGGAGTTATTTTTATTCACGCAGCCATCATAAACAAAAGAAAAAGAGGCATCAGACGAAAAAAACAAAAAGCGAGCCGCCAGACATCAGAGAAAAGAGAACACACGGACAGAGATATACGCGAGTAACCCGATCAAACGCGGAGGGAAGCCGCACCCGCACACGAGGGAGATAATTAATCTCTCTATTTTATCTTTTTCTTTTTATTTTATTATGTTAGAGTAGTTTTTATTCTAGTCCCGGGGAAATCGAACCCTATGATTGACTATGTTTTGATTAATTTTTATGGTTGATGAATTCAATATCTTTTTGGAATTGCTTGTGTTATTTTGAATAATTCACCATGATGTGTTAGTCTTGTTTAGATTGATCACCTAGATTAGACTTTTCATATCTACATCTGAATTAGGCCTGCAATCCGTAATTGTTGTTGTGTTTAATTCATAAGAGGTAACCGGAAGATGGTAACTACCGGGGATAACACGGCCTAATTAAGTGAACGAACGCGGTTGAGTTCACTAATTAGTCTAGCCTATTTTTCTAATTCGTAAAGCGGCTATTTGTATTAAATCTTGAAAACGTTTTTCTGGACTGTACAAAAAGTCAGGTTTAATCGTCGAGCGTCTCGCGGTTAAATTAAAAATAAGGAAAAATCCGGGTAACAGACCGAGTCGTTACCTAGGGCTAGTAATTCCAGGAGATAGCGAAATCTGATACTAAAATTAATTAAACGAGTCAATCGAGGGTGTAGACGGAACCGTGGACTAGAAAGTTCTCTTTATTTATTTATTTTTATTTTTATTTTCTTGTTTAGATTTTATTTATTTCATTAGATTTTTAGGTAGTTTAGTTATTAAATCAAAACCCCCCCCCATTTATCGTTTTTTTTATAATTTCAATTAATACGAAAAAATTCACAATTTGATTCACACTCCTCGTGGGATCGATCCTTACTCGCCACTACTACTAGTTAGTAGAGGTTAGTCGAGGAAAATATAAATATTAATTTTGCCGCGTTGCGACGCGCGGTCAGCACCGAATTAGCACAACACGCTTTTAACAAAATCAATAAACAGGCAATCAATCAGAAGCAAATCCATTAACACATATATGAAGCATATCAACACAGTTAAGTACTGCATTTTGCAACAGCAAAAGTAAACCTGCGCAAAAAGCACCAACTCACCACACTCCATTACCGCCAAAAATACAGAATAATCATCACCAGCCAAACAATGCTGAGTACCGAGTTCAACACTTCCAAGATAAACACACAATTAAAAAAAAACGCAATTATCTACACAGATTAATCAAATTACGTTCGTTAATTTACCTCATTGCAAGCGCAGCAGCATGTCCACAATTTCTGATCATCCGAAACTGGCACCATCCAAAGGAAGCACATCTAGCCGCAAAATATGAAGCGAAGAGGAAAAGCTCCAAGCGCGAGCGCGCCACTGTGAACAATACAGTCATCGGTCGGAACATACGAAATCAGCAAATTCGATAACAGATAAAAACCGATTACAAGTAACAATCGATCAAAGCTCATCCAAAGAGCAGTAGAAGCGCTAGAAAGAAGATAATGGAGTCCAGAAATTTCGAACGAAACTTACAGGTCAATCGATCGAAGCTCGAGTGGCAATGGTGAGACCGTGAGAGTCAGTCCCGACCATTTTAGCCGTCAAAACCAGCCGTACATCAATTCCAGCTTCCCGATTTTCATGGCGCACACAATTACTGCAATTAAGTGTAATTGCGTGTGTATGTTCCTCTCTTAAATTTTTTGTTATGTGTAATTGATTGTTGAAGATGATAAAAGATAGGCCAGGCCCAAATTTGTTTATTCGTTTTCAATTGGGCTTCTGAACAGCAGCTAACACATCTCCTGGGCTTAAGTGACAAATAGAGTTGATGCTTAGTCACTCTTGGGTGAGCAAAACTTAGCTCAAAATTCAAAAACGGAATTGTATTGTGCAATTTGGTGTTGTTTGGTTCTATTATTTCAATATAACAAATTTTTAGTTCAATTTTTTTTTTTAATATTATTATTGTGTGGTGCAGTTTGGTTATTCTTTTTACAAGCTCATTTTCGAAATTCAGTGTTGGTTTGCACGAATTAAACCCAAAAATTGAATAAATTGAGTTCAACCGAGCAATTCAGTGCGGTTCAAAATTGAGTTCAACCGAGCAATTCAGTGCGGTTCAACTTGGTTCGGATATTTATAATATATTTTTTTTACTTGGATATTTTTATGTCTGATTTAGGTACCTTGGCTTGAACCGCGCGTCCTACCGACCAGCTTTGGACGAGCATGGGCTCGGACCATGGGCCTTAAACAATCTAAAGTGATATTGGGCTTTCACCAATATCATTAAATCCGAACCTGATATTTCTCCTAATCATTTTTGCGCGCTTATTCAAAAGGTTACATGAGTTATCAAATGTCATAAAACATATGACCAATATTCACCTAAATTTTAATTTTACCGTGTAGAGATTGTCCACCTAGATTTTAATTTTACCGTGTAGAGATAAAGACGGTCAAATCACTGTATCTTTGAGAATGATTAGCACATTAAACAGAGTTTTTTGTCCCTTAAATTTCATCTTTCATTCATAGTTGAAATTATAAGAATTGTAGCTGATAGGCAATATCTACTTTTCCAATTTATTTGCAATTCAACTACAAAATATTCTAAAGCAAAATGTATATGTCTGCATATATATATATATGTATAATAACTTTTCCTAGTTTACATTTCACATAATTTGCTTATCATATCATGGTAATTTTGTTTGAACAATAATGGAAGAAAAAGGGATAGGCACCAAATTGATTTTTCTGTTCCACAGATATCTTTTTGACTTGTCTCACGATGTCATAAATGTGCTTTTCCACCATGGCTAACATCGTGGATTTAAGTAGTCCATTCTTTTTTTACTATTCAAATCAACCTAAATCTATTAAAAATCTCGGAACAAAAGGAAAATAATAAAATAATTATAACTTTTAACAAAAAAAAAAATGAAATCAAAAAAAAAAATAGTGAACTTAAATGTCTTTTAGAAAACAGAAAAATCTTGTGCCTTTGCGCCTCTAATGTAATGTCATGCATGCACCATCGGTCCACCGGAAATTCTTCCCCCTCCTTTTTATCCTTTTATTATTTTTTTATTTTCTTGTCTCGTGCTTTTAATCTTCCTTTAAATCAATTGACAATTTACGAGAAAGCGCCATCTTTTCACAATTTGGCCTTCTTTTACATTCGGTACTAAAAATGTCACCACAATCCTCAATTTAGTTTTCATGCTTTCTTTACAAGATATAATGAAACTAGGTGTGCTATATATACATATATATATATATATATATATATATATATATATATATATACAAACATATATATATGTGTATATTCGTCAGGGCTGTACACGATCAAAGTTCGAACTCAGGATGCTCGAGCTCAAGCCATTAATGAGCTCAGCTCGGATCGGCTCGTTAAGCAAATGGGCAAAAAATCGAGCTCGAGCTCGACTCGTTTATCAATATTAACGAGCCGGTTTGAACCGATCTCGAACTTTAACGAGTTAAACTATAAAAATTATATAAAACTTATCTTTTCGAGCCTTATCGAGCTGAGCCTAGCTTGTTAACGAATCGGGCTCGAGCTTGGTTCGTTTACAAGATGAGTCAAGCAGAAAACTCAAGTCTTAATGAGTCGAGCAGAAACGAACTCACGAGCGACTCGTTTCGTTTAACAATTCTAATATTCGTACATGTGTGCGCGTATCAAGCTTTGGTTTTTAAAATTAGATTCCTAATTTAAATCGGTCACTATGACATATATCCCCTTACACTCTAGCTTTATCGTCGTTAGGTCATCTAAGAACCTTAGTTGAAACCATTCAAATGAGCGGTCTCAGATAGACAAGAAGAACCAGACTCCTAATCGAGCTGATCTAGCTAACTATATATATGTGATGATTTGTAAAATTAGACCTAGTTGAAAAATTAAATTAGGATATAAATTTTTGTTTGAATTACACGAGCATCTATACTTATATAACAAGGAATCCTATTTACTATAAATATTATTCAAAAAAATCAACTGCAATTAATGCTATTACTATTTATAGCATGTATTTTATTTAATTATTTTATATTGAAATTAATGTTATGCGATTCAATTAATGCTATTACTATTCCCATACAATCGGTTTTGCTGGGAAAAAATCCCACAAAATCGGCTTTAATTTTTCGTATATTTGAAATTTCTTTCTTATCTTCTATTTGTTTTATCTCATACAATCCATTTAATCAACAAAATCCCATAAAATCGTTTTAAACTTTTTGTAGATTGAAATTGAAATTTCTTTCTTATCTTTTTACCAAAAATTTGATTATTTATGTATTGAAATTCTGTAATCCGATTTCAGATTGTATCATTAGGAATATATTATAGTTATATTATCAAATTATAAAAAGATACTAAATCCATATTGTAAAAAAGTAATTCATATAATTTTATAACAATTCTACTACACTATTTAACAGTACTCTTTTTTATTATATAATAAAATAATAATTAAATGTTATATAGTGAACAACAATAAGTAAAACTGTTACTTTCTCTTATATCAAGGGATATATTTATATGCTAAAATTAAATTTTTATTAGTATAAATATTTTAATGAGATAATATATTAATTATTTTACAAGTTTGCCCTATCATGCTCATATTTAATGTTCTCGCTAAAAAAATAATGCTGGTTAAAAGATGTGGAAAAAAACTTATAATTACCCTATTGTTTTTTAGACTTAACGTTGATTAAAAGAGGTAGAAAATAGAAAATAACCCTATTATTTTTTAGACTTAAACAGACAAGAGTGTGAAAATAACTCATTTAATATTTCTGTTTCGTGCATCGCACGGGGTACGTACTAGTGTGAGCTAATAAACAAGCAAGATTTTCCCTTTTTTCCTCATTTAAATTCAAATTGTGTTTCAAAATACAATTTTTGATATGTAGAAAATCCAATTTTGATTGTTAGAAATGGGGAAAATAAATATTCAACCCTAAAAGGAGACAGCCTTACATCTTTGATGAGGCTGGTGACATTCACGATCAAATGCCTTTTGTAGAAAAAGCCCTTTCATGACGTGAAAAAAAAAATGCCTTTTCTTTTTATCTCTTTGTTAAATCCAACTCACATGCATGGTTGCCGGCTAAGCAAATGCCAGATATGGAAACAGTGGAAATACCATTAGTGTCTCTCTCTTTATTATATACTGAATTTATAATTTAATTAGATAAGCAAATCCCTCAATTACCTTTTTTTTCTTAATTATAAATTGGTTATATATCCATGATATATTTATGATACTAGTTAAATTTGACTCAGCCAGCTCATGTTTCCTTATATTTTAAGTCTATTTGTAAAATACATAAATAAATTTTATTTTTGAAACTAGTTACCCACCTCTACAATTACCTAATAACATGACAATGACTATGAGCCCAACTAACAATTAGATAATCATACTTTCATTATTGATATACATGTTTTCAACTAAATTGTTCTATCCTAAAGAAAATATAAATAAAAGTATGACATCTTATGGCACAATTATACAATTTTGTTAAATAAAAAAGTATGACAGATCGTACCGTCTAATAGTTAGTCTGCCTCATACTAAAACATGTGCTGATAAAAGAAACTATCATGATGTATGTATTTCTTGAACACAAACATAAAATTTCAATCGGACATTTAAAGTGAATAGAAATCGATTAATTAGTTAAAAATAGGTTTCTTTATTTTCCCCTTATAAGGAAATGGTTGATTTTTTTATTTTATATTTTTAAGTTGAATTTGTGCACCTGTGATCTGTGTGTAAAGTAGATGCACCGAGGATTGTGGAATCGTCAAAATGATTGGTGTATAAAATGCACGTAACTAAACGCGGTCTAGCTAATCAGATTGGTTCTTAGAAGTTAAGCAAAAGATTATTCAATGGGCTACAAATAATATTTAATTTGACTATTAATGATAACCACAATTAACTGGCCAATATTACATGGGCTTCCATGCACGTGTCCACTTATCGATTTTTCATTGTTGGATTTACATATATACACACATATCTTTACGGTGTATGTTGATCTAGTAAATAAAGCTTCCCTTGTTCTTCAGTAGATAATGTTAAATGTAGGAATCCATAAGATTTTTTTTTTTTTTTTTTTTTTTTTTTTTTTTTTTTTTTTTTATTATTAGTTCACAACTATTGATGTTAGAATACACAATTATTAGGCAGACATTCTTTTATTAGTAAAACTGTATACTTATATTATTAAATGTCATATTTGTATAGATATATTTTCTTTTGAAGTAGGACATTTGAGTACTTAAATACATAAAAAGAGTATAGATGTGTGACTATTAGGCAATCTAGCTACACTAGCGTTAATGATATTAGTATGATTCTTTCACTTATATATTCCACGTTCTCTAATACAAATTAAAAGTAAGACCAGTTATGCAAAATCGAAATGATTGTAAAATTAAATTATTATTTTATATTTAATTTATGTGTATCAGTATGGTTTATTTTAAAAGCATCACAGAAATTGATGAAAGATAGCAAACAAGGAATGCAAAAGCATAAAGAAATCTGCCATTGTTCCTCAAAATATCAGTTCTTCATTAATTGCGGCTGTCACACTCATTTCCAC